TAGAAATAATAATACTCACTTAGCATTTCTACGCACTTAAATATGAAAATATTAAAAAACTAGTTGTATCCGCTACCAAAGAGGTTGACTGACAAGTCGCATGCATGGATATAGCTAACTATGTACCTTTCTATTATTTATGCACAAACCACAATGTGGGTATGATAGTTGTGATAAGCATGCTCATGTCAAGAGTGAAAAGAACTAACTACCGCACAGTGCGAATCACAACTACATTTTAAAATGTGATATTTAGTGGCATGTGGTGTAGGAATGAGGTTTATTATAACCAAGCAAGTAAATATGTAGTACATTGCATCTCCTTTCATTTAAATGTTGGGTATGTTTATTTTATATATTTTTTATTATGAGAGATTTAACTCGTTGAGTTTTGTATGGCCGCCATAGTTGGTGTAGCTCACCACTTATAAGTAAGTTTGTTTATAAGGAAAAGTAATTACATAAGTCACTGTTTTACAAATATTGTGTGTTCAATGTCATTAGAATGTGAGTACTGAGTTCTTTGAACTTTAGGTTTCCTAACTTAATGGTTGAGGAAGTATAGTTTACATAATAATAATATCTGAATGAGGAACTCACACAAAACATGGAAACTCCTCGAATTATGTTAACACAATATAAATTACTTACCTAATCTAAGGATACTCACTGACCTTCACTTGTACTCCACATGTTTTAAAAATAAGTATTTGATTTTGCAAACTTTTTATCTTTACAGTAATTTCTGTAATGTAGGTAGTTTTAAAAACTTTTACTGTCATGTCAACAGGTTAGAAATGTCATCAACAATCTGAAATTGGCATTTAGTCAATATAAGGTACAGAGCTATATCTTAACATACAGTTTGATTAGGTTTAGGTAATAAAATTGTGTGATTATATGAATGGTAGAATGGCAATTTTAATTTAGAAACAAAACAACTAAATGGAGTTATTCTGAACAAGCGGGTATTTAGTATCTATGTCTGAGACTGAGGTTATGACCACAGATAATAGAAATGTAAATAAATATGTATAGGTTATACGAGTCAACGAATGTTGTATCTAAAAATAGAATGAAATAAGAATCGATATTAGAATAAGATTCAAAGGCAGTGCGAAGAGGCAAAGAAGAGAGTAAATTGTGTATTTCATGGATTGAAATTACAACATAGAAACAACTAAACGTACATCGAAAGCAAATTTCATGTAATTCGACAGTGTGCGGCCAGCTTTGAGGATATAAATAGAACATACACTCAACCACCCAGCTAACTAGAACATTGAGAAGCTACACAAGTACTGCTTGAAAATGCACCAAATTGACCAGAATAAGACTATTTGATCCGTTTCCATTACTTGAAAAACTTATAAAAAGTGCAAACAACTAAGTGCAGTGACGGATCGCCAGAAACTAAAATGTAGTATGGCATATTACATGCATGTCGTACACAGTTTACCTCCGCCGATGTCCATGGCACTGTACGAATAAGCCGCGAGCCGCGGACACCTCACAGCGGTCCTTCCGCACGCGACAATATCAAAACGCACATTTATATTAACTTCGTCATAACTCGATTCGTTTTAAATCATAACACTTCCCACTTTCAGAGTGTACTTTTATGAACTTTGGAAACACTAAACCTCACTTTTAAACTTAATTTCAATTATCTGAGTTGCAAACACACACGATTTACTTCACAAATTGTAAACTATAGACGTACCTCCAGCATGAATGATCCTATAATAATAACTGTGAACTGTTTCTTCGCTCTCGCTCGGCCAAGGAACTAGTTATCAAGGTCTCTCGTCTCGACGTTGTGTAGTTCCAAGAATTTGTCACAGATTATGTCGCGAACTCAAACACTTTATTGTTATCCTGTGGCACTAATTTTGATAAATACAGTTTAATTATTTAAAGTAAAATTATTCAAGTTACAAACGTATGGCAGTGAAACACTACTCCGGTTCGGTTAGTGAACGTCAAAACTAATGATAATTCTTATTGGTGTGCGTTAGCTCTCGACTGCACACAAGCAACAACTGCCGGCGATTGGCAGCGAAGTGTCACATGGCGACTAAGTGACGTATGCGGACATAGCGCATGCGTATTGTGAATTTCAAACTTTATTTTGCGAGTGTGAGCGAGAAGCTAGTATTGTCATACTCTTCATATTGCCACTGACAGATTAAATCACTGCTGCGTCACAGATGCCGCGTTGCCCGCCAATATTTAAAACAAATCAAGTTATCATTATTTTTATTTTGTTATGAACAAAGATGGATTATCTAAACAAAAATTAGATATACAGATACCGTATAAGTGCGCTGAGATTAAATTTTTAAAAGAATAGTTCCTTGAGTATTTTAAATCCGATAGATATTTCGTTCGCAAACCCACTTCACGTAATAGTACCTAAGGTAAGATAATACACTGAACTATCTATCTACATAATATATAAAGTAGGAGGTGAAATTGAAAACAAATTAAACTGATAATGATAACGTTATTTATGGCAAAAACAACTGCGCTAATCGTTTCGTTACACTGCAGTTGCAGTGTAACCGTCTTGCAAATAAATAGATTAGAATTTATTTATATTTAGAAATAGAAGCCGTGATACAAGTTAAAATACACATGACATATTATACCAAAATGACAGTCTTACATTAAGATGAGTCACTTATTAATAATACCAACAGTACCTGTAACAATAATTTTATCTTAGTCATGTTTATGTACGACGCGACCCTTACCCCTAACGAGTCCAATTTTGTTCAGAGCAAGTGTGAGTCATCAGAGGTCTGAATAATACGAAATAATGCGCAGTGGTGTGGGGTGTGTGTTTCAATTTCAGGATGTTTCAGTAAGCTGGGTGCTATGACTCACCGCCCGTCTGAAACGTTACGCATTTATTTTTGGGGATGGGTAGGTACTAGGTAGGAAGGCTCGACGAGTCATACTAACGTAAATAAATACGGCAGCGGGTAGCTTCAAGGTTTCGGTGAATGGAAGGTTTTTTTATTTATTTTTATGTATCTATTTATAGAAAATGACACATTGAGAAAGATTACTTTTATGGATTACTGAAGACAAAAACCCTCTTGCTATAGTTAAATACTATCTTACGCTAAAGATTGATAACGTTTAGATTTTGACGAAACCTTTAAATAGCAATCGGCATTTTCCAGCTGATGATGGCACTTAAACTCACAAACTTACGTGTTTATAATATTAGTAAGATTTCTAACACCTAAGAAGATAAGAAAGGGAAATTGCAATTAAACAAAACTTACAGCTATTGCCTACGTAGTATATGTCGAATCGTAGCGTTGAGTGTAGGCAGCTACGGCGTAGCACCGACATCCTTTGCCTACGAAAGCAATGAAACCGTGAAACGACGCTGATGTTGCCTTGTAGTTTCCTTCAAACACAGTATACAAGTACTTACGTATAATTATACGATCGTTTATAATAATATTTGGCTATGAAGTTATAATAGTTACAATTAGGAAGTATTTAGATAGCAGTAACAACAGTATTGTAACTCATTAACATCTTTGAGTCGATCTTCGTACGAGTTTGTAAACATGCTTTTATCTATGCTAGCTATTCATGTAACTCCTCCATCCCTTAGCGAACACATGTAAAGTAGTACCTACCCTCCCACCGAAAGTTAATAAAAACATTCAGTCATGAGTCAGCGGTGGCGGCGGGCTGACGCGCCGCGCCGGTGTTGCGTGAGGCGCCTCGCACCGACGACGCCGCGCCGTGCCGATCAGCCTTATACCCAAACGCTAAATTAGACTTGCCCTCCCTTTATGCCCCCTGTAACTTGTATTATTTAATATTTACGCAATTCCATGACGTGGCCTCTAAGTAAAGAGGGAGCAATACGTTGCACGCCAAACTATGTAGATGGCAGGTAGATATACAAATTGTGTGCGTTCTGAACCCAATTCAAAAGATTACGATTCAAGTCTACCTACTGACACATACAAATAAAGTTTATACTTAGTTGCAGATAATAGAGGGGTGATATAATAGGCCTACGTGATAGGTAAGCTTATCTTTCCATCAAAAATAAAAATAAACCTTATACAACTGGAGTTGTAGGTAAGTTAGGTAAGTAAAATTAAGTTTGTATTAAAGGAAAATCTATGTAAATAGGAATTGTAAATACAACGCAACAAATACCTACAATAGAACACTTCTTATTGTAAATCATAGAATTAAAAGAAAAGGACACAATTATTGATCGATTCATTAGTTAGTAACTTAACGTTTCTTATATAAATTCCCTACGTAGACTTAATAGACTGAATCACTAACGTGGTTAGGTCGTGGTTTCAGATTCCATCTACTTATGTAATCGGTTTTACGTCAGAGGAGAAACTTGAATAAAATGGAGAATTTACTGGTCGTCGTCACCAACCGCGACTACCGCAAGCGTCGTTTTGATAAAGTTCTCTTATACTTATGTACAAATGTAAAGCTACTATAAATAAGTAGTAAAGTGTAGATAAAAAGAGGTAGGTACCTAATAAAAACGCAGGTTGCTGCAGTAAGAAGTTCCTTGCCCCATGCGTCACGCAGTAGGCGACATCAGGGCTGGCGCCGCGCCGCGCCGAGCGTCGCCGTGCCGAGTGCCGATAGTCGTCGCCACACGCCACCGACCCACCCTTACCTACTCCATAATTTAGTCTTTTTAATAACCTTGTAATTCTTTGTTAACTGACAAGCTACAATTAGATAGCGGTACACAATTAAGTGGAAAGTTTATGTCGCAGTTTACCTTATCGTAATTGCAAATTAAAGAACCATTTGCTATATTTCTAATCTAAAATGTTGATTCGATATTTTTGTTGATTAGGTAAGTACCTAGTATTGTTTACTTTTCACAATAGAATACATAAAACACATAGCTATATAAAACTTGCAATATATTTGCAGCACACCGTCCGCGATCCGCAAAAATAAACGAAACGTAGCGGTCGAAGCTAGATTCTTACAAAGTATGAAAACCTTTTTTTGATTATGAACAATAGCCATAAAATCAAACGAAGAAACAAATAAAATTCAAATACATTTTCGAATCTATAACACCGAGCTGTCATCTCAATCAGAATATTTTTGCAATTCAACATCTGCGTAATAAAATAGTACCAATAAATACTTAGAAATAGGAAAGAAAGGACAAAATAGTGTACCTATAATGCCAGAACAAGTGGTGAAGGTGCCTCGGAGTGCGTCCCCGGTGGCCAGGGCAGGAGCTGGTGACATCTCTGAGCGAGAACTGTCGAGAGAAAGACACAATCTGCAGTTGCAGACCACTCCGCCTGCGTGAGTCGTTGTTTTCATAATTATTTTGTTTTGATAATAATTAATTAGGACGCGCCCGATTATGTCAAATGACCTTAACTGCGTCGTTGCTCTTTGTTAGGTAAGTACTAATAATACATATTAAACATTGAATTTTATTGTTGAAACAATAAAAAACATGTCATGTTATGTAAACATTGAATTCAAAATGCATTTAGGTAAAATAGAATGCCTAATTGGCCAAGGAAGTAAACACTTTCGTAGCAATGCTACGAAGTTGTTCGCCACGGCTACGGGCTACAGAACAATGCTCTTTCTCAAGATTCGTAGCTAGCACGTACCGTCCTAGTAGTACACAGATAATTATGCAGTTTCAGATCGTACCTAGCACGTAGCACATAGACGATTACAGTTGCTTAAAAATGTATAGATAGATATTATTTAGAATCTTTGCATGACCTATGTACTTATACAACATGTAACGTAATTAACGCACACCCTCAAACACCCCAATTAGAATATTATTATTAAATTTTTAATTTAACATGTATATGCATCCTTACTGGTCTTGTCATAAGGTTTATTTTTCTTTATTTTGTATTGAACGATAGAATTTGTATGAATACAAATAAAACTGCGGTTTAAAAAGTTTTATTGCTTTGACTTACGGTCCATTTCGATTTGTTTTAACAATACAGGGTTAATATGACAATAATTTCCGTAGTTTTAATTATTTTTGGGATAAAAAATTACCTATACTGAAAATTATATAAATCGATTCGTTTAACGATTCTGAACAAACTATTTTCAGGATGTGCGTTATTTAAGTTACATGTTGTATATTTGTATACTTATCTATGTCATTATGTTAGGTTTTTCCAAAATAAACATATATTTGTGGAAGCCAAGATAATTATTAAATGTTGATAACGTAACATCTACTTTTCTTACAAAGCTCATGTAATTAGGGACGGGACTCGTACCTGTAAATTACAGAACATTTTTTTGATAGAACTTTTTTAGAACAGTTTTTTTTAGGGGAGAAATCATCGAATGACTTCTCCCGTCTAGGTGAGGGAGTGTCAGACTCTTACTGACTAAAAACCACCCCGTTCCTTCTCCTGCACGTCGAGCCGGAGCCCCGGCAACCCGTTAGGTTCTCCGCGGCTTTTTAGAACTCTAGGACTACGATTACTTCGAAGTATATAATTTAACTAGCTGTTTCCCGTGACTTCGTCCGCGTATAATAATGACTTCTGGCAAATTTTGGATTTTTCAATTAGACTTTTTCGAGGTTAATTCCAGAGCTGTGTGACAAATGTTATCCGACTCGTGTCAGTTATATTTATTGTGAAGTATTGGACATATCCATGATTACAAAAAACAATCCCGCAGGGATTTTACCCGTATCGGGATAGTATCCCGTGAGGTTTAAACTGTGAAACACCGAGCGGTCACTGGTGACCGCAACCTATTGTTCTTTAATTGTGTCTATAATAACGGTACTCAACGATTGAAACTCCAATTGAATTTCAATTAAACAGGTACAGCCAGTAGTTAAAATCTCTCAGGCGTCATTTGCCAAGTCGCGAACTATCATCGTACCGAATTCCACTGAAATAAGTTCAATAGTTTAAAAGATAGAGAAAACTGTGTTAAACTTCTGAGAAGTCCCGTGGGATTTCCGGGATAGAAGAATCATACTTCCTTTCCAGTGCCAGTGTCTCAAACTCTTGTTGAACCGAATTTCAATCAAAAAGGTTCAATGGTTAATAATGTTGGTATTCAGTCTCTTTGCATACCTATTGAGGTACTGACATTGGCATATTGACATTGACCTATTGACATTGGTTATGATACAAAAAAATGTCAATGATCCATTGGCATGATACTCAGTTGTCAAAATAAGATAACTTAAAAATGTACCTATACACACTTATATATCATTTGTCTTAAATATCATGTATATGTTACCGTCCAAACCCGATTTCAGAACAAACTAGTTTTGCCTAGGCTAAACTAGTTCTTCCTATACGCGTTAGGATTAACTAGTATAGCCTAGTTCAAACTAATTTGTCCTAAGCCCGATAGGATAAACCAGTTTAGGCTAGGACAAACTAGTTGATCCTGATATTAATACGCACACTCTAGGATAAACTATGAAAGGATTGAAAGTTGCATAGGTTACATTTCGTTTCTTTCTAACCCACCACTTTCCTAAAACAGGGGGTGGAAGTTAGTATGGAGCATTTCGTAATTTTTAAGAACTCTGAAAAATTGGTATCATATTTGTGACCAGCTATCTTTTGCAAACCTGCCCCAATACTTAAAAAGAGCGCGAGTTGTCACACATCGGGTTACTTTATCGAATTTTTTTCCTTTACTTTACACGGTTTCCTTTTATCTCTCTTATTAAATATAGCCTATGTTCATCATCGATAATGTAGGATTCCAACGGTAAAAGAAGTTTTCAAATCGGTCCGGTAGTTTCGGAGCAGATTCAATTCAATCAATCAAACAAACATACCTACAAACAAACAAAAAATCAAATCTTTCCACTTTATACTAGTAATGTAGAGCATGTGCCTAATTTCCACGGCCCTTGGCCTAAAGAACCGTCGCTCCATAAATAGAGATTGTGTTACATTAGTACCTCGTTAGATAAACTGCCGCCCCGCTGTCTGCTCGCACGGAGATGGACGAGCATTAGATCATCTAAACAAACATGACTCAGTTTGATACAAAACAGACAGACTGTCTGTCCACGGCAGCTGTAATAGAAACATTATTAGAAATCAAATTGCGATTTGACCTTAAGGCCTTTAGTTATCTATGTATGTTTGGAATGTCTAATTTGTTTTGAAATTGATTCGGAGATGTTCTCCCATTTAACAAATAATAATTGTTAATATACATAACTAACTTCTGCCCGCGACTTCGTACGCGCAATCCCGTTTTCTCCCGTTCCCATAAGATTTTCAGGATTTTTTTCTATCATAAGAACGTTTTCCTGCCAATAACAAACACAACAAAAAAAAATCAGCCAAATCGGGCCAGCCATTCTCAAGTTATGGCGTGACAACGGGAAACGGGTTTCATTTTTATAGGTACGTTTGAGTTAAATTAAAATAGACATTGAAAAGTGATATTAACAATCATGTTCAATATGGCTCATAAAGAATTGGAAGGGTCGAGGGGAACCGGGTTGGTTAAGCAATTAGTAAAAAAAGAAACAGACTTTTCCAGATTTTATTTATTTATTTATTAACGCTTCATGCACAAAGTGTACACAAGGTGGACTTAATGCCGCAGGCAGATTGTCTTTCAGTAACGAACGATTGAGATATACTAGTTTGAATACTCACGTAGGCCAATAATCCTAAAATTTCTAATCCCTAAAGGACCGGTAACGCACTTTTAGCACCTCTGGTACTTCTGGTGTCCATGGGCGTTTACCGAGTTGTTCCCTAAAAAAGTAAACTGTCCGAGGATATTTTTTATACTACCTATTACCAGTAGGTACTGTTCGTACCTACTAGCATCCCGTTCAATTTTCTTAATACAAACCTTCTCTTGACAAACAAACATATAAAATAAAGAATTTAGTAGAGTCGCAGGCTCTGAAGTTATGTGCGTACTACATACATTTCGAGGATTTATTTTGTCAATTTAGATTTCATTAATTTTAACCTGTGTGTTGTCTATTGTGTCTCATATCGGTGCCTTCAAGCGGTTAATGAAATTAATACAAAGTAATACTTTACATTTAATGAGGTTAAGGCTGCAAACGCTGCACAAACAGGAAACATTTCCTCGGGGACTATTACTTGGCGGCACATTTATCAAAATATTTTTCCTCTTAATACGCAATGACGGCTTAAAAATGTGGAAAATACAATGTATTACCTATGTTAAATGTAAATAATAGGCATATTTTCCTTAAAATAGCCGTTATTAGTCATTTTGGAAAATCACAATTTAACGTTACGCCGTGTGACATCACAACTTTGTGAAATCCCATGTAAACTGTAAAATAATACGACACGGTAACCACCGCTGTGCTATTTTGTGTAAATATTTGTTTGTTCAAAATTATTTTGTCTATAAAATGTCAAAGAAATGTAAGAAACCAGTGATTTTCAACCGCCTTCAAAAAAAGGAGGAGGTTCTCAATTCGACCCGTATGTTTTTTTTTTTCTATATTTGTTACGCGATTACTCCGCCAATTATGAACCGATTTGAAAAATTCTTTTTTCGGCGTATAGGTAATACCTCAAGGTTGGTCCCATTTAAATTTACTAATAAATAGGGGATGAATTTATATATACGCAATAACTCCGCCGATTTTAAACCAATTTGAACGATTATTTTTTTATTGAATAGGTATTATCATTTTTTAATTTTTAGTTTTTTTTGTGTTCTCGCATTTGAAGTCGGTTTTATTTTTTTTAAAAAGTTAATTATAATTTTTGTAATTATTTAGTATTTATAGATACTGATCTAAGCCGACGAGGGATCCTAACATAAAATCTGTATAAATAATAGTACTTACGCAAAATCAGGATCAGCTCACGTGTTACAATTATGTTAAATAGTTATCTTCTCTACAGTCGCGTGCAACCAGCTCATCCGAAGAAGCAGCTGTTCTCAGCTCCCGTGAACAAGTTTACAGCCAAATGGTGCGGCCCCAGTCCCAACCTGGAAAGGATCCGAAGCTGTCTGGATGCCTACGCCAACCAGGAGACTCCTACAAGGTCTGTCGCCAAGACTAAGGCGGCTTCCATGGAAGATCTGACGCCTACTAAACGGATTCGCATTGACAGGTTAGAAGAGGCAGTGATCTACACGGTTCCCTTGAGACTGAGAATACCCTTGGTGAACCTGGCGTCCCGAGAACAGTAATGTACAATCAGTAAAGTATTTAACATATACGCAGTCCAAGACGTCTTGTTTTCCACATACGCGTGCTGTATGATGCCTAGGTAGGAACTGCTTAACATAAAAAGTTCAAAATTCGTAGTTGATTGTTTAGGAGGAACTTACTGCCGGTGCTTGCGTCTCCGAGTGTGCATGGCCCTGCTGAGGAGGCGGCAGCCGCCAAGATCTGCCAGTTCATGCTGGTGGCTGCTTGGAGGCGGCGGCGTGAGGACGTTAGGTGTCTTCGCAAGACTTTGGAAACACAGGTTCGTCACAATATCACATTTTTCATTCCTCGAAATACCAGAGGTAACACCCACTTCTGGCCAGTTTTGTTAGGAGTCCCGAGTAATAGGGGGCGTACATAATAATATTTACTATACCTTAATTACAGACTCCATGTCAATAATAAGAATCTTATCAATTAGGGCCGATATTGCTTTTAGGTGTCATATTCGGAACGGCTGCGGATTCAGATTTCTGCTCTGAAGTCCCTGCTAGATTCTGACAACTCAAAAGTGAGGTTGGCGATGCGAGAGCTTGAACGACTGAAGCAGCTGCTCAGGGACAAGGAGTTAGAAAAGGCTGTACTGGAACGAGTGAGTCCTACTCCTACGTGATGCACGACGTTGTTGCTTGATTGGTTTCAATTTACATAAATATTATCTTCAGGAAAAATTGGCTTTGGAAGATGATGTATGTGCTGCTGAAGACCGCGCTTCTGAAATGAGTATTGGTGAGTTACTTTATCGTTTTATCATTTTTTTCGAGAACTGTTTACCGGTCAACCCGCAAGCTGACAAAAATATTGTTAAATTCTTTGATGCATTTTCCCAATGATGATGCCCAATGCAGTAGCCCCCTATTTCAGGGGACTTGACAACTTGTGTTGATATTGTGATACGAAATAGTTTTCCAACCAGTTCCGTAAGTTTTACAATGATGTCACGTATAGGGTGGCGTAACTGCCGCAATGAGTTGGACGGCGTGCGCGCGGCCGCGGCCGTCAGCGAGCACGCGCTCGCACTGGAGCGCGCCGCGCACTCCGACACGCTCGCCTCCAGAGATGATGCTTATGATAGGGTCAGTCTTTCAATTGGACAATATGACTGTTACAGAAGACATCAGCACCTCGCATTGAATTGAATAACACTCACCTCCGTAATTACACAAAGTTTGGGAAAACTTGCCCTATTGGTATTCATGATATCTATACTCTCTATTCTCTCATGATACGTCATTTCATCGATACCAACACGCACGACTGAAGAGAGAAACCAGAAACCTTATTACACATACATTTTAATTAATAAATGACAATTCGTAACTCCCCTAATCTTTTGAACAGTTCAATATAAACAACCGACTGTTTCCATATTATTATAAAGATTCAACCATTTCTCAATAGTACGTAGCAATTGGCACGATAATTTCCTTGTGTTTTAGTTGGCGATACTAGAGGAGGACCTGGCGCAACACGAGGAGTTGCTGTCGTCAGCAGAGGCCGAGGTGGCCGCGCTGCGCCGGGAGACTGAAGAGAAGCAGAGACTCCTCGATGTCACGATCGAGAAGCTCGCGTATGAGGAGGAGTCAGTATCTAGTTTAATGTATTCCTGTTTTACCTAGATTTTTTAACGTAAGCTTATCTAACAAAAGCTAAAAAAATAATGAACAATAGGATTTAAGGTATTGCTAAGTGCCTCGGTTATAATTCATCATCAGTTTTTATTCGATTGCTTAAGAAAAGTGACAAGATTTTAAAGTATTTTTTTGTTTAGATTAAAATGACGGTATTATTTTTCTTCCATTTCATTTGTTTTCATGACATGACAAATCACCAAACTACCTTTAAAAAATTACCCGTCGGCTGCCCCAATTACTGAGCGATTATTTGGATTATTAGTATTATACATCTTTCAGCTACCTGTTCCTTACCTTTGCAGGAAACAAAAGAAGGGAATATTTCAGATCAGTCTTTCACAAAACAAATTACCTACCTGCCTTATCGTAGCTACTTATCTTTGCGAGTTGATTTTATCTTAGCCAGGGGTCTACGAACAGAGTAACTGTCTGATAAACATCGTAGGTCATCCCTATGTAGGTCGCTTCCAACCGGCCTATCTGGAAGGCCCATCATTACACGAGGCCTACGTTCACCGATGGATGTTTAATAGCCGATATTATGGCGATGATGATGAGGGTCTATGATCTTAGACATTTTGATTGATAAATATTTGATGGCAGTCGGTTGCCGGTTGCTGCACTGACCGGGCAATCGGCTGCTTAGAAACTTGTCGCAAGATTGATTCCCATTCTTTATGTGATCCATAATATAAGTGTTGTTCCGGGTCTGGATGTGACATATATATTTTTGAGCATAGCATAAGTCCAGCAACACAAAAGAAACTCCTAATTTGAAGGTAAATATTTTTTTGTGTGTCCATTACATTTAGATTAAAGTTGTCTAAAGGGCCTCTGCGCAGTTGGCTTCGGCCCGTCGTACGCCTTCCAAATGACCGGGACCCTATAGTCCCGTGAATGGTAAAGACATACATAATAATAAAAATAATTGGGGGCTTGTCTCGTACCAGGGCTAGGTCGCAATGTTCCCGCGAGTGCGCGGAGCTGACGGCGCGCGTGGGTGCGGCGGCGGACGAGACGGGCGCGCTGCGCGGCGACCTCGCCGCCCTGCGCGGCGACCTCGCGCGTCTGCAGCACGACCTCGCCGTCACCAAGGAGCAGCTCGACTGGTGGCCACGACCACTCACCAAGTACGATCATCCTCAAATCTATTATAGGTACCTATGTTAAAGATAGGTGGTAGTAAAGAGAGAGCCATTACACCCTGCCCCTCGATTTCACTTAAGACTTAAGGACTATTCGACATATTTTTTTTTCAATTTCAATTTAAACTGTCAAACACCAAGCGTGTATGGACCTCAGGCGTCGTTAGTTTGTTTTGAGTTGAAAGAGACCACAGTTTTCCCGTTCAATAGTTTATTGTGTAAGTTACACTAGTTATGTGGGATGCTAATCGTGGCTATAGTTATAATCAACTGAACGCTAAATATTACAATATTAATTAAATCGACTCGCGAAAGTAGGTCGCGCGACGTTAGCAAAATAAATGCCTGTACGTAAACCGTACAAAGCGGTCACCGGTGACCGCAACCTATTGTTCTATAATTGTGTCTACAAAACCGGTACTCGACGAGTTAATGTGCAATCGCAAGAGTTAGGCAAGAAGGTATTTTCATTTCGCGTTCTTTTAAAGTCCAAGTATCTTTACTTTACTTACCTTCATTTTGTGGGAGAGCCATGCTTCGGCACGGATAAGCCGGCTCGACCTGAGTGAGACTACGGCCTCACAGAAAACCGGCATGAAGCAACGCTTGCTTTGTGAGGGAATCCTCAAAATCATAATCACCAAAAGGCCGGTAACGCACTTGTAAGGCCTCTGGTGCTCCAGGTGTCCATGGGCGACGCCGATTGCTTACCATCAGGTGATCCGTCTGCTCGTTTACCGGCTTATGCCAATAACAAGTAAAACAATATTGTCGACAGGATGCTGGGTGCAGCACGGTCATGGTTTCGCAACCCCAAGGCTGTGCCAGAAGCCATAATATGGACGCTCATACCAGCACGACATGGCATACCATAGCCACAAGAGACATAAACGGAATATAAACGTTAACACCTTCGACATAAGACTGATTATACTCTATCATATTTATAACATTCTTCTTAAGTGCTAGCAGCCAATAGTCGAATAGAATACAGAAGTCAATGTATTAGAACTGACATTAGCTTACGTCACTCGCTGTCAATTTGTTACATTGACATTATTCTATTTTGAACGTTTGGTTACGAGCATCGATCGAGTTATTGTTAACATTTACAAGGTAAGTTTGGTAAGTCAATTTACTTTTCTATAAGGATGTAAGATGTCCAAGTTTTAAATTTAGATTAATTTAATTATAATAATGTTGTTGGCTCTCGAGTGTATTTGTAAGTGATTGTTTACTTAAATTATACTTATTTAAATAAATATATTGTAAAAATTAAACAATTAACTATTTTTTTTTAAATAATTTCTTCTTTAGTCTATTAGTGGTGTGTGCACTTATAACTCACAGGATAATAAGAAAAGAGCTCTGACGTCATCAATTTATTTCAGTCTTACATTTCTAATCAACAATGTTTCAACTACAAAATATCAACATTTGGAATGGTTCCTATCACTGGGGGCGAGCCATGCACAGTCATACATACACAATACATATATGTAGTTATGTACAAACTATACTAAAGGTAGATACCGTCTAATGTATGAACATAAATATGACAGATAGTTTAAATTCATGAAAATAATACAATTCATAAATACATTAAAATACTTAAAGCTTTCCGCTTCCGATAGGTACTCAGATAGCTTCACAAATGCACTGGTGAGAACTGAAACTGCATTAAAATTTGATCAGTAGTTTTTGAGTTCGCGAACAGCCAGTCGCAGTGAGGGAGTTATGTAGCGATAAATAATTATAATAAAACAATACTAATTCACTGAAATACTGCGTATTCAGGTGCTTTAAACTGTCAAACACCAAGCGGTCACCGGTGACCGCAACCTATTGTTCTTTAATTGTGTCTATAATGACGGTACTCGACGAGTTAAATACTTGTAATAAAATTATATAAATAATACGAAGCCACTATATCCAGATTAGGCCTACAATTCTGCTCGCCCCCTTACTACATAAACATTGTCGACGCACAGGACAATGGCACGGAGATTTATACACACAGGTAGATAGACAACATACATTAAACATTGGTAGGATGAATTATTTACCAACATTTTTTAACTGACTGCTAAGTAGTACAATATACGCAGCATTAACAGACTGCGTCAGAAGTAATTATGTTGAAACTCTTTCGCTCAAGATGCAAAAGGTGCACCGAGCATTCGCCATTAAAAAGTATTTTTTTTTAAAAGAGCGTTGCATGCCCCACATTAGGATTTTCTCCTGTGTCGTGGGTGCGTTTACAAACAAACAAGTTCACATACACAATGACACCCAGACCCGGAACAACAATTTGTGGATCACACAAAGTGTTGTTCCGTGCGGGAATCGAACCCGCGACATGTTGGTGCTACCGCACCAACCGTGCAGTCAAATGATAGGTATGAAAATTAGAGAATTTATTATATTAGAGAAAGCTTAAAAAAATTAGAGAAAGCTATATAACACAGAGGTGTTATATACTAGCTATCATACACAATGTTTTACCCCCGAAGGGTTGGTTAGGCAGAGGTGCACATTACGGCACTTAACTCGTCGAGTACCGTCATTATAGACACAATTATAGAACAATAGGTTGCGGCCACCGGTGACCGCTTGGTGTTTGACAGTTTAATGCCACTGTACAATGTAACACCCATTTTTCATTAGTAATGTTATGAGTTCCATGTAATAGGAGATGACCCTATTGCTATATACCGGGCTCAATCTAGACTCCGTGCTATTACTGAGATTTTTTTTAAACCTAGTAATATTTTGCCCAACCCGTGAATCGACCAAAGACCCCTTGCCTGGCAGTCGCACTTGCGACCACTCAGCCAATGAGACAGTCATACACAATATTGCATCTCGTAATTATTAATATGTCTGTATGATCTCTTATTTGAACCTGCGTGATAATACAGTGCCCTGTGCCCGTCCCTGAAAACAATTACTGTGTTATCTCTCTTGAATTGAATTTGTTTTCCACGCCGTAAGTATCATAGGTATGACACGGCTTAACTTTTTTGTTTATATCTCCGTACCATTAGTCCAAGTCGCATTAAGTTTGAAATAGATATATACAAGATGTCAGCTATTTATAAAATTACATCAAATCACTTAAATTACACTTCTATATAATTTGTAAAAGGTTAATGCCATATTTGTGACGCAACATGGCCCACGTTATACCGGTAATAAATCGTTTCTTTTTATCATTGGCCAATTGGAACTTTTAGTTATAACTTAAATGACAAATATGGCATTAAAAAGGAAATACATAAGAAGTATGTACTATATAATATAATTGGGTACTTTCCTTAATTAAAAATAAATTATTAGATACAACTGTTCAATACAATAAATTTTAAAAAATAGTTACTTACATTGTTTTTTTCAATTTAATTTTAGTATTTTTCCAGCTAACTTTTAAGAAATAAGTACGCTGTTTGAAGCTAAGAAAAACGTGACGTCACAATACACATTCTCGTATAAAATTCATAGAAAACTGTCGTTTTTGACAATTCAAAAAAAGTATTGAATTTAACTAGTTGGCAAGTACCCAATTAAATAAACATACAGCTAACAGGTAGCTTTAGAACGGTGCGCATGTGTTTGGAGAGTCGACATGAAAATATTCATAACATTATTACCTGGCAATTTATCATTCATTTTTGTTAGTATTCTAGACTAGCTAATCTTTTAGACGACATCAAAATAATGTTTCACTGTACGCGATCCATTATTTATAGTGGATTAATCTTATGTCGATGTCTATTAGACAGTAAATACTCGTTCCCTTCTGCATACAATGAAAGAGTAAACACATAACAAAATGCTCAACAGTTTGTGCCTCTTAACAATGACAAGTAAGCCTTACAGTTCGACTAGTAAACAGAATAAATTGAACTTTATTAAATCACAACCGAAACAAAAATAACTTTTAACTTAAACTAAATAACATCTTACATACAATACTTGATTAAATATAAAGAAATATTGAAATATGTCTCCTCCCAAACACGAAGTAAATGCAATCAAATTGCGACAACTAGAGTATCATATGACTAGAACCATACTTATATACTTAACAAGTTGAAACTTAAATGTAATAATAACTTTGATTGAACACTAACATCTTCGCGTGACACTAAGTTACACCTTTCGTTACAGTAACAGTTGTGTTTAATTAGCGATTTTAAAGAACTGGTAAATTTCATGACCATTTTTATCATATACTAGCAAACCCGGCCAACTCCGCCACTAGATGGCTTTGTTATACGTAATATTTCGTTTGGTGATTAAAAGATTTCTTTTTCCTGATTTTTTTTTTTTGCTATAAACCTTACGGAGCCCGAAACCTTTCCAACGAATGCAAAACCGTGGAAATCGGTTCGTGCGTTCTGCAATTATAGCGTCAGGAAGGAAAACGCGACTTATTTTTATATAGTAGATTTAAGAGCGTATGATGATTTTTATGTTCAATATTTTATTATTCTCATGTTTATACATTTTATTATCATTTCGGGGAACGTATCAGTCAAAAGATATCCAAATTACGTTCCTTACATAATAATTTTATCTGGTGTTACACAGTACCAGTGTAATTTGTTTCTGCTTAAAATTACAATGTCTGGGTATCTGCTAGCTGCTATGTCTCTATTAATTTATTAGATGTGTGTTAGTTTTGCGTCAAGTTATTTTTTAGCAATAGAATAACTTATTACCTGTTGCTGATAGATCATGACTTTACTTTATTAAATATATTTTAGTCGATATTTAAAGAATTTGGCTTCGATTTTGTGATCAAAAATTAACTAACACGTCGGTATTCAACGAATTATAAGTTTACCAAAATATAGACAATGATACACAATTGTTACTGTATATAAGACCTACATTCAAACACAATCACACACAGAAGTACACATTAGAATTAGAATTTATAATTTATTACACGTATTATGTATTATTTATTATTAATTATTTATATTAAATGCAACTTTGGAGTTTAGATTGGAGTCATAGAATAGTTTAGGCCAAAGTTTGTTTGTACTAAAAAAAATAAGACTGACTCTCGTTTTATATAATTATTAAACAATTATTTTTGTAATTTAGCTGTATATAATAATTATTATAAATCTTTTATTAGTTCAGAGGTATTAGAGTATTATTTTGTTTAGAAAAATGTTTAAAATCAGAAATCTAAAATCTATATTTTATCAGTATTTTCCACTGATGAAAGTTTCGTAAATAATGTGGATTTTGTTACAATATATTATTATAAAGTAGGTATAAATAAATATAACATTTAAGAACAAAGCCGCGAAATACTAGTACTACCAAATAATACCGACAATATTACTGGTCTTACGAAATAACTCCATTTTACTCTTTTAAAACATTAAGCTATGTTTGCATTTCAGATCTAGATTATACACTAGGTAGTTTTTGGAAATAATTTAAGAAGTAATAAAATAAGTACTACAATTTTTGGATAATTCAAAGCTTAATGATAAGGAATTACTGGCGCAAATATTATAACTTAAATATTTAAACTTATAACTAACTTTATTATAATGGTCCCTAACTAAATATATGTAGTTATGGAGGGACCACTATCAGAATTTGGTAATGAAAAGGAATCATTGTTCTAAGTAACTAGATTAAATAGCTACTGAACTATTGAATCAATATCTAGTAGAATTTGAGTAATAAATAAAATACTTGTATTTGTATACAAACACGAATGATATTAATTCCGTCAGGTTTTAGGCAATCTGTTGCTTTATTATATTTTTGTTATCTCTTCTCAGTATTCCTGACTTCCACATAATTTAATATTTTCATTGTTTAAATCGTTCATTTATATTTTAGCTTGATCGAGCGTAAACTCGTCTTATTAATAACTTGACAAATAACATGATGTTAACTAACTTGTTATTGTCACATGTTCATCAATTCCAAGTACAATGGACATCTTCTTTGGCAGGATTCCAATTAACTTAATGGCTCGTGGACAGCTTTACGTATAAAATATTCAATAATTTTTTTAGTATATATTGGAGCCTCTTCGTACTTAAGTTTTTTCTCCTTCTATGGGCCGTAAGCAGAGCTGTATTATACCAAAGGCAAAGTAGCAAAGTATCTAGGACGCCAGTGCCTTAACTCTTTCAGTCTTAGTGGTCACTGTAGCTAACCACCTTTTCTTAGAAATTCAATTTTTGAAGTATGCTTCAGATTTTTTTGCTTTGTTTTTTAAGTATTTTAGTATAATTAAATGAAACATATTCATAACTAGTTAGAAGTGTGACTGAAAGAGTTAAGCCAAACGCCACTTTAGCGCTTGTCTACAGAGAGAGTAGAAATCAAAATGTATGGAAATGACACTGACAAGTGTCAAAATTTACGTCAATCTCATATAATTTGGTTTTCTATTCTACATGTAGACAAGCGCTAAATGGCATTAGGCTACAGCTGCCGGTTACCGCGGGGCGCCGCGACATGCGCCGGCCGGACAGCGGCGGCGCCGGCAGGGAGCTCGCCGGGACTCTCGCGGTGTCATCCTCCGCTGGCCGCATGCACTGACACATACTTCTGTGGCGTACAGTTGACTAGCTCAAGTCCGCTCGCTTACATTTATTGAAATTACTTTCGATCCCACGATATTAAATGCTAATTATAAACAGTTGTCCAGCAATGGACGCGTTCGTTAAATAAATAAAAACGTACATTAATTAACATTATGTTCAAATGACGATTGTATCACAAATTGTCTTGAATGTCAAATTTTTATATATTAAAGTCTGCCTCACCAAATACTTAATTGTACACGCGTGTTTTAAAGAAGTTCGCTCGATTTTTGTGGTTTAAACCAATATTATAAAATTAGTAAAATTATACAAGTTTGAAATGCCATTAAAAGATCGGCTAAGAACGTTTAAGAGCACTTAATTGTAGAAGATTGAATTAAGGAAAATCGAGCAAGCATCTGAGTTGCTGAAAGTAAAATCTTGAAAGTGAAGGCCATATTGGTTCAGGCCATACAACTAAACAACTTTTCTTTAGCATTTTCCCAAGGAAAAATTTTAAGTTTTTATACAAATCGAACTGCGATTTAAGAAATGTTCATTGCCATAAGTACTAAAACAGAAGTTACTCAATTTCGTAGCCTGAACCATCATTAAAAGCGTCAGATACATGTGTAATACCCAGTAGGTGGGCATCTATATCATGCCGAAGCCCTCGCCGCCCTCGTTGATGGCCCAGAGCAGGGCGTGCACGAGGTGCTCGTAGCTGTCGTAGTCGGGCAGGCACAGCTGGTTGAAGCACGTGTGGGCCGTCGGCAGCGCGCCGAAGTTGGGCGCCGCCGTTATCTGGAACCGGGGGTTCAGCTCCTGGACATTGCAAATTAAATTCTTATAACCGATGTTTGGTTGTGTAAGTAAACAACTTAGTAGTGGGGAGCCACATTTCGCCACGAATGGGCCGAGTCGACCGGAGTGATACCACCGACGAGCAGAACAACGCTTGCAATATTTCACGTCGTGTGAGTGAGGTTACCGGACGCCCAATTATCCCCCCATCCCCTCCCCAATCCCTCTACGGTGCCCCTGTGTGGGCGCCGAACCTGATGGAGGCACGTCGCCGGGCCGAAACTCCGCTACCGCGCCAGATTAGTTTCTTTTTTTAAATATTTGATGGGGCGACGTTTGACCATTATCTCGCCTGGTGGTAAACGATGATGCTGTCTACGATGGAGCACGTTGTCCCATAAGCAACCTATTCACTCGGGCCTTGAAGACTTCCAGGTTATACCCTTCAGGAAATACAGACACTGGCAAAGAATGCCACTCTTTAGCAGCACGCACAAGGAAGCTTGAAGCGAAGCGCTACGTGCGTGTGGGCGAAACATCTACCATGCATCGGTGACGCTTCGCCAATTGTCTTGTGGTACGATGATGGAAAGGACTAGGGGGAATCAAGTTGTGCAATTCCCCCGCAAACTCACCGAAATGTATCCGGTAGAAAACCGAAAGGCTTGCAACCTTACGACTGTGTTCGAGGCTTTGAAGCCGAGCCTTCACAAGTGCATCATCGTCGATGAGCCTCTTGGCACGCCTCTCAATGTGCTCTAACGCGTCCAGCTGATATTTGGCCCAGCCGTCCCAAAGATGAGAGCAGTACCCCATACAGGACCGAACCTGTACTTGGTACAGGCCCAGCAATTGTTTCGGCGTGAAGTACCGTCTCACCCTCCATAGGATACCCAACTTCCTACCAGCCAGTTGCGCTTTTAACTCTATATAGGAGCCAAAGTTGAGTGTTACGCCAAGAAGCTCAAGATGATTGGTTATCGGAACGGATATATTCCGGAAAGTAGGAGTCAGCGGCAATTGACTCCGTTTGGCAAAGAATAGACACGCTTGGGTTTTGCTAGCATTGAACCTAACCAAGTTAACGTGACCCCAGTCGGAGACCGCCTTCAAAGGTCGAGTTCAAACGTTCGACCATGGATTCTCTTAAAGACCGGATCTGTGTTCCGCTAGTCCGCGCACCGGCATACCCAAAGATACCGGGCTTAAGTAGGTCGTTTATGTGCAGCAAAAAGAGCGTCGCTGAAAGTACTGACCCCTGAGGGACGCCGGCATTAATACCGAATTGGTCAAACGAGCAGCCATCGATGACTACTCGTAATGACCGATACCTCAGGAAGTCTGCTATCCATCTGGACATATTAGTAGGAAGTCCATATGCAGGAAGCCTGCCGATTAGACTGTCGTGCCATACCCTGTCAATGGCCTTCGAAATATCGAGGAAGACTGCTAATGCCTCCCCGTGCCCATCGATGGCCTCGCTCTATATGTGAGTGGCGGGAAGAGCTCCAGCGCGATCTCATGGCGGAATGGCAGTAACGACTGTTGCAACCGAGGGCTGGGCTCGCTGCCATTGCAGCGGTAAGTCCCCTCTTTGAGGAGTGGCTTGAGAGACGCTACGGCGTCCTCACCTACCGCCTGACGCAGGTCCTCACCGGACATGGAAGTTTCGGGAGGTACCTGTGTCTGATGGGGCGGGAGGAAACGCCCGGGTGTCATCACTGCGAGGACCGCCCTGAGGACACGGTGGAACACACGGTGGGAGAATGCCCTTCGTGGGCTGAGCACCGCCGTGTCCTCAGGGAAGTGATCGGCGATGGCGACCTCTCGCGTCCGGGCCTAGTGCAGGCCATGATGCGGAGCGAGGGGGATTGGGATGCCGTCTCCTCCTTTTGCGAAGCAGTCATGCTAGCTAAGGAGGAGGCGGGACGCGTGAGGCAGCGAAGCGCTGCCTCCTCGCAACCCAGCCATCGCGAAGGACACACCGGGCGTCGGGGATCGCGGGACGATCTCCGGCCACCGTAAGCGCGGGCCTGCGGACGGCGAGCATGGGTGGCTCCCCGTCCGACCAGAAACAGACCCGAGCGTACGGCGCGTCGCGTTCCGCGCGCGCCTCAAAGAGCCATCAGACCACCACAGATGGGGCCCAATAGGGCCGATGCCGATTCGGAGTCGCGGAGAACCTAACGGGTAACCGGGGCTCCGGCTCGACGTGCAGGAGAAGGAACGGGGTGGTTTTTAGTCAGTAAGAGTCTGACACTCCCTCCCGCCTCACCCAGGCGGGAGCAGTCATTCGATGAAGTTCCCCCCTTAAAAAAAAGAATATCCCCTCCCCAATCCCTGGATCCCTAACAATCCCCATTCCTAATCCCCGCAAGGCCTGATCGTGACAAAATTATTCAAGAAACAGCTTTTAATTCTTGTAGACACAAAGACTGCCATACATATGCCGTACATATGTACAAAGCTTACCCTAAAAACAAAATTACATCACAAGCAATGGGTATAGAACGTTCAACTTACCTGGAATCCACCAGGAGGCAGCTGCGAGCACCCAGTAGTAAACTGCAGCAGTCTGGCTCGCTCTTCAGTCGTGAAACTGGACAACGCGGCCCAGAACCACGCCAGCACTCGCTCCCAGTCTCTGCCCGCCCCGGCCACCAGCGCGTGCGTCCGCCAGTCGTGGACCGACAGCTCCCCGGTGCCACATAGCAGTAACTCGAGTTCGTTCTCATCAAAGATGGCGAGTAGATTGTCCGGCACGAGTACGGCGAGCCCCCGCAGGAAGGCCTCGGTCTCGGCCCGCACCCGCGCGGCCAGGCGCCACTGGGCCAGCGCGTCCAGGTACGAGATCTTGTTGCTGTTGCAGACCTGGACCGGGGACATGGGTATTTAAACTAGGTCAAATTCTATGTCACTTGAATCAACAAGTTAATGAAATAAAATAATATTATAAACTGGCTTCAAAAACGTAAAATGTAGGATTTATGATTTTGTTATTGACACAGAGAGAACGTGGACTGACCCTGATGGTAGCCCCGTTGGGCAGGAGGTCGTGCGTCTCGACGAGTCGGCCGGACGAGTCGTACACGTCGTCCGCGAAGTACAGCTCGGGCACGGAGTCCCCGCCGTCCAGGTCTGTCTCCAGCACGTACTTTATCTTGGACAGGTACAGCTCGGGGTCGTCCTGCTCGAAGTACTGGGGAACCGAGAGGGAAGTTGATAACTTTTACAAGGATTATACAATTGTTAAGCCTTATGAGAATGTGTAATGTATTTATGTCTTGGCTATTTTTTTTGGTTTCTCATTTTATTGAGATATTTGACTGACCCTGGCCTACTTCTGGACGTCGTCTACGTGCTGAAAGTGAGTTGGACCTAAAAATGTGATAATTTTGACAGCATGGTTAGCACGGTGACTTGGCAACTGGCTATCGCGCAATGTGTCGCGGGTTTAATTCCCGCACGGAACAACTCCTTGTGTCATCCACAGATTGTCGTTCCGGGTCTAGGTGTCATGTGTACGTGAACTTGTATGTTAAATGCACACACGACACATGACAAAAATTAGTGTGGGGCAAAGTTTAAAAAAAAAACAAAAAATGTAATGGACGACCTACGCGCATGTAAGCTCATGGCATGTGTTACAAGCTTTACCTTATAGTGCACCCGTAGTCCAATGATCTGCGCGAGGAAGGACCGCGTGAGCCTGGCCCTCACAAGTTGTCGGTAGGAGCCTCCTAGCGCACTCTCGTACACGCACTTACCCACTAGCTTACCCGCCAACTCGAAGTGCTTCAACTATAACAGTTACAAACAATTTTATTAAAGAAATTAGTATTTTAGAGCACACATAAAGTTAACACATCTATATAAATTATATTTTAAAACCGTGAGGTTACCCGGAGGCCCAATCACCCCCCTCCCCAATCTCCCCAATCCCTGAATTCCCAACAATTCTCAAAATCCCCAAAAGGCCGGTAACGCACTTGTAACGCCTCTGGTGATCTGGGTGTCCATGGGCGCTAATTGCTTGCCATCAGGTGATTCGTCTGCTCGTTTACGTGTAGATAACAAGTCGAAGACTGCCAATATTTAAATGATTAGTGTACCTTGAGATGCGGCGGTCTATCGGGGTTGGGATGTACGAGTCCAGTAGGGGAGTCGTGGAATGACACAAACAGACCGAACTTGGGATCGAACAGTTGACCACACAGTAACGAGAACCATTCGCGGCGGACTCCGCCCCAGTCCACGCCTGGAAGTACAACAATCTATTATAAGGCGTCGCTTACATTGCAAACACAACTTACTACTTTAAACTTGTAATAAGGTTTGCCTCAAGGCTCTAAAATAGGTCCAACTAACTTTTTTAGTAGTATAACATGCCCATTGCCAATTTGTTATCGGCATAAAAGTAAAATTCCGGGATCAAATTCTATTACAAATTGGAGTCGAACAGTCCTTGATTGGAATGAAAAGAGTAATTTTTCAGAACTTTAATTGCAAACCAATTTATGTATATTGTGTGGATTTGGTATTAGCTAAATTGATGTATTTAGTATTTATCTGAAGTCAAGAGTGTATAGGCCTTCATAAAATAAAAAATGCGTACCCTGTTCCCCCTGGAACGTGATGTCGAAGTTCTTGCACCAGTCCTGCACGGCGAAGTGCCTGGTGGCCTTGAGGCTGGACCGCAGTAGCTCGCTGCGGACGACGCGGATGGCGAGCTTCTCGTGCGGGTGGCGGGAGTGGGCCTTGCGGATCTCACTGTAGAAGAAGTCTTGCTTGTTCTGGGGATGGAGTAGGAGACAGTATTTAAGACAAGAAGAAAGAAGTCAGATGTTGATAGGGAAGGAGTTAGTGAAACTGACAAAACCATATGTGTAATAGAGGACGAGGTTTATTACCATATACCAACCACTTCTCAAGACACAGTGAGATTATTGATAATATAAAATATTGGAGCATACTTGAAGATTAAAATCATTCGATTATCCGAGGATAAAAAAATCGAAAGAAAACAGTTAGTGTTTGTAATAAATAGTCCGTACCTTGAACGTGTCCTCCCCGCCGCAGTTGGCGATGAGTAGTTGCGTGAAGGTGGCGGCGATGAGGTCGCGCTCGGCCGACACCAGCTCCAGCTGGGGCTGCACGCCGTCCTCCAGCGTGAACGACCCGCCCGGGCCCGCGCCCGCAGGGCTCGGCTTCAGGATCAACTGACACCAAGATACACATTACCACGGGGTTTAAAAGTTTCGAAATGTCAGACTGGAATAATAAAACCTTTGGTAACTGTGGGAGAGTCATGTTTCGGCGAATGAGCCGGCTCGACCGGAGTGACACCACGGCCGAGCAGAAAACCAATATGAAATAACGTTTACATTGTGTTTCGTGGTATGAGTGAGGTTCAAATTATTAATTCCCAAAAGGTCGGTAACGTTAGAACCGGTGAAAAATAAAAACAATAGTGAAGAAGGATTAAATAAGGTAAAAATTGAAGAAAGTACCTTAGTGGAAGGACAGAGACGGAAGCTGGTGATCCTCTTGGGGATGAACTTGAAGAGATAGTCCTTGAGCGTGAGTTGTTTGGGACTGATGCAGCAGAGCACGCGGCGCGGCTTGCCGGACAGGAGCCGCGCCTCGTAGCAGATGTTGTGTCGCTTCGACGATATATTGCGCTGCACCGTCGCCGTGTCACTCGCTACCGACGTATAGGATTACATTATACTACGTTAACGCATTGAAACATTCAAATATAAAGAGTTGTAAGTTATCGTACATTTGAATATTTTGGAACGAGTACCTAGTTTCATTAACGATAATTCAATTTCAATATTACAAAAGTGCCTATTTGGAATAAATGCTTTGACTTTGCTGAAATTGGAGTAATGTCCATAAAAGTCAAAGACTACTTCACTACAGGAAGCGATAAAACGGTAAATATAAATAACAGTATTTATTATGTACGTACCAGTGAGTACGATGCAGTCAAACTCCCCATTATGCAGCATCTGTCCGCGGTACAGTACTCGCGCGCGGTACAGGCCGGCGCGCTCGAAGCACAGAGACACGCTCACTCGCTGGTTCACTGAGTCGTATGAAAATGTCGCCGCGGATGATAGCGACTCGTCCACTTCGCCACCCAGCGGACTGATCTCGATTGAGAACCCCTGGAGAGACTTTTATTCAGAATTAACCTACACACTTTAGTACAATACTGAGATAAAACAGGATTAGCAAGTATTCTATGATTTTACTTAAGCCTTTGATTAAGAATATTTATGAAAACTTAATGCCAAACGCCAACTTTTTAAATTTAATGTGTATTATATCAGAATCTACGTGTAATAAATAACATGTCACTTGCAATATACATGTTTTTTTTTATTCAATATGTTAAGAGTCAAGACCCAGGCTAATAAGGAGGGTGCCTCAAGGTTGTACATTGGGTCCAACGTACTGAACAGAAAGCAAGGCTCCGTACCTCGTGGTCGGTGAGCGGCGCGGGGTTGTCGTAGTGGTCGCGCGGGTGCACGTGCAGGGCGCGCGCGTGTCGCGCCGCGAACACGAGCGCGTGGTGCGCGCGGCCCACGCGCGAGCGCCGCGCCTCCACGCCGCCCGCCGTGAACCACTTGCGGAACGGACTGCCCGCCACCGGCACCAGCCCTGCCGGACCAAGTGTCGCATAGGTATCTTACCAAACTTGATGATTACAGATAAACTCAAATTTATTAAAGGTGGAACTGAAGATTATATATAAACAAATACGTTTTAAATGAACGTTGCAAAACTTTGGAGATAACATACTCAAACTATGTGCTATGGACTTACCGATCATGACGGACACGATGTAAACCCCAGCCTGCCTGACAGTAAACTTGACCCGCGCAGTATTGGCCTGCGCCGGGTCACCCGACCCGAGCTCTATGACCGCCGTCACCTGCAGTAATATTCATACCGCGAAGATCTCACACCCGTTGCGATAAAATACACAGATATTCAATTAAATCAAAGAGAAACCCTATCAAAGCCTTTACTAACATTTTAATATTATGTAGTAGTGACAAATTTACGAGCATAAAGCAATTAATTGAAAAGGTTAAGTAGAAGAAGAGTTAATAGAAAACAGCTTAACATTAATTGGACAATTATTATCCTCCTGAGTTGAAATTTAGTAACTTCATTACTGTTTCTGATTGCTTTAGTTTGTATAGAGGATAATAATGTCGATAAAATTGTGTTAAAAATGTGATGAATCACCCAGAAGTTAAATCCAACCCCACTCACTTTCCTGGAACCGTGGGTAATGGCCACCGTGAGTTCGTCTGTGTCACAGATGGGGTAGGGCTGACCATTGCGTTGGAAGCAGTGGACGGTGAAGCACATGGTCTCTCCCACCGCTTGGGGCTCTGTCCAACCCCATTCTACCTGGAGATCAGAAGATTGATAGAAGAACATATTAACACTAGCCTCCATGTATTTAAAACTAATAGTTTAATGCTAGAAACACTAGAAAGTCGTTGTGAGATCGATATTATTATTAAGATTTGTCTGTTTCTCGAACCGATCAAAAGATGTCTAAAGGTTACAATTTCTCAGAAGTTTAATTTAGAAGTGAGGTTTCATTTGCTAGTTATGTTGGGTGACGGGATTTCATTTGCTGTGACGGTAAGGGACTACTTAGAAAAAAGTGTAAAGTACTTCAAGGTAATATTTAATAAGACTAACTCAATTTCCTGGCTTGCAGTCCCTTTACTCGACGAACACTTAACGATGTTATAGTTCGAGAAAGATAACATTGCCTATACTACCTACACTTGTATTCCGCCCACACTTCGCTTGCCAATGTGTCCCTTACGGCACGAGTTTCAAAGGGCGACTATTTATAGAAGGCCAGGTGAAAAATATAACTTGAAACCTCAAATATTTTTAATCTAAAAATATACAAAATTGAGTAAAGCAAAGTGGAGGGAGATTGGTAAGTGTAAAACTTTAAATATGAAATGAAATTAAAGAAAAGATTGAGACTGATGATACGATATACTTATATGGAGAGGATAGTTTGTTGTGTAGGAAAATATATTGATCAGGTTTGTATTAAAAAGGTTCAAATGGTTATGAGTTCTTTAAATAGATGAGTATGCTCAAAAATATGTGGGCCGATGTCGTAGATGCGAATAAGGTATACCAATGATCCCTATTTACCTGTGGGAGATAGACGTAACAATATAAAAAAAATGATAAATACCCTACAACTAGGCGGGTGTAGATATTTCCCGGTGACGTACTGCAGCAAGGAGTGCTTGGCCTCGGGCGCGAGCGAGGGCTGCGTCATGGCGGCCAGCGTCACCAGCCCGCACACCGACACTGATACCACCAGCATCCCACCTGCAGGTACAGACAAAATAGGGAGTTATTAATACTTTTACTGCCTCTTTCAAGGATTTCTGCCGCTTTTATTATTATTAGAGTTTTGGTTTTCGAAAAATCTAAATCGGAGGACGGAGTCTGCATTAAGTTCGACCTCAACTCAATCTTCGAAATAACAGCATACAGGAAAATAGATATTATGTTTCATGTTTCTTTTGTATAAAACAAATTAAGGATTTCAGTATATTGTTATTGCTTCAAGCCTTTGTGAATAAGGCTTGTTATTTATTATTATGTCATGTTAAAAATATGAATTGTTTTCAAACCCCAGGTCCAAGCGTCTTGGTGTTTGCTGTTTTTGACGACAGCGCTCCATAGATCAGCTTTGAGGGTTTGCAGCGCCTCCTTGCCGGTGGGTAGACTCTGCCGGGCGGCCGACCACGCGCCGAAGTCTTTCGGGTCGAGCACGTGGCGCGCCGTGCTGTCCTCCAGCCAGTACACGTCTTCCAGGGACGACACATCCAGGCTGAGGAGTCTGGAGACAAAAGAGAAAACATCATAAGCCTCGCGCTGTTATGTCATGATATCCAGATATACATGAATTACCTTCTTAAATCTTGTTCAATCTTTCTACTCGTTAAAACCGCATAAAAATTCGTTCAGGAGTATTGAAGTTTATCCCATATAGACAGACAACTCATACCAGGCAGAGAACGTTGAAAGAGAAAGACTCAAATTAGAGACTTAGACCTACAAACAAATCTGTATGAAACACTAACCAACAGACTAGTCTATCTGTCTGTGACACTTGAAATATCCAACTTTCAAAACTCCACTCCTCACGGACTGAACTGAGCTAAACCAAACAATTCGCAAGCCTCAAATTATCTGTGGCTAACATTCGGAAAACTGCAATCAATTTTCGGAAAGAACGTTTACGTCGTAAACGGACGATTACACATTGCCTCGGGGATATGGGACGGACATAGGGTGCGTTTGATCATGTTAAATGGATCCCAGATCTCGAGGGTCGAGGACCTGATGTGCGATAAACAACTCGACGACTTGATAAAGGGTTACTGACGTGATAATATTGCTAAAAGAAATGTTTATGTTATGATAACATTATTTTTTAGTTCGCGGGGTATTTTAGTTTATTGTTTAGTTTAGTGTAAGTAGATCATCTATATTACCATATTATGTGTGAAAACGGTTGTTTGCTCGAGAATTATGGAGAAGGTTTAATATTTTTTTTAATTACAATAAATAATCTTCACATCTTAATACCATTGTGAATATTATTACTAATGTAACCTTGTATAAGCAAAAGTTTACTTACCCGAACTGCAAAACAAAATATGATTTATGACCTGAACTGCATAGCCTAAAATATTGTACCAGTCAACTCAGCTTAACTTTACATAGGTACAAGCCTAAGCTCATAATCCGCCATGTTGAAACGATACAGGGAGTGCAAATCCGTCAAGTGTTGGAACATGTACGTACAGGCCGGTCGACAGGTGATCTCATTAGAAGATTAGTGGCGCTGTTAGCTGAGTACTGACAATCAAATCATGTCATCCACGTTCAAGCTCAATGGAGAATGTTATTCCACCATTATAGTCATTAATTATCACAAACGACGTTAATTGGAATAATGACCGGGATGATTCTACTTTTTCAGTTCTATTGTCTAAAATGGTACCAAAAATAAACGGATCATAATTTTCTTCGAATAAAATAAATATTACATCGCGTTTTAATAAACTATGCATATAGCTACCGTATTCAAATGTGAATGTGGGAGAGCCATGCTTAGGCATGAATGGGCCGGCTCGACCGGAGTGATACCACGGCCTCACAGAAAACCGACGTGAAGCAACGCTTGCGTTGTGTTTCGTCGTGTGAGTGAAGTTACCGAAGGCTCAATTACCTCCCTTCCCCTTTTCCAATCTTCCCAATCCCTGAATCCCCAATAATCCTCAAATTCTTAATCCCCAAAAGGCCGGTGACGCACTTGTAACGCCTCTGGTGTTCCAGGTGTCCATGGGCGACGCAGATTGCTTACCATTAAATCGACAAAAAAGTATAGCTCACTACCAAGCGGTACTAATTTTATTTGTTATTGAATACCTAGTCAGTAGCCTAAAATTAAAATACCTAATTAATAGATTCCATAATAACTGAAATACTAAGTACGAAATCAAACAGCGCTTTATTTAAAAGCTATTCAAGGACACGTTATACCTCTAGTATTCATAACATAAATAATAAGTAAAATAAAAATGTGAATATCTTTAATTAAGTATGTTTCAAAACTGTGTTAAAATTGGTTTAGGTATTAGAAACCTTTTTCAAAACTAGGTTGGGGTCAACACCGAGTCTTAATCAGATACTGGGAACGACTATCAAAGATTGTATGATAATGCAGACCGACACGAAACGCTGGAATACGAAACAACACTTAACGTATTATTAGTACGGCTAATAATTATAGAATTCGAAATGACGTACTACTGACACAAAATGAGCTGAGAAATCATTTATGTATGGTCAATAAGGGTGATAATCACCTCATGTCCAGGAAATTGCTGATGCATTAATATCATAATGAATACATTCGTGTTCTTCGTGCCTTATCTCAGTGACTTGAGCTTGACTCAGTATATTTCTTTTTTTTTATATTGCAAAAATATTTATAATGTACGCTGGTAAAACTAGGTGACTGCAAAGCTAGGTACTGGAACACGGAACTAGGTGGTGGCCACAATATAGCGTGTTCGCTATCATGGTGCCTCCCGCTGGTGCTAGATTACCGGTATTAACATAAATAAAGAGCTGAGCCGCCATGATTCATTCGAAACTAGCACAGTAGTGGTGCGCGCAAGGAAATATGCTGGGCTCAACGCGGTTTGTTGGTGGACTGTAGCATGTACTAATGTAGAGGCCAGTGCACATACTAAATTACCTAAGCATAAATAAATAAACAAGTTTATGGCACAAAATATGTCCTAATATAAATATTATTAGAAGTCATCATAACAGATTAACTTAACAATAAAAGATGTGAAATTAAGACGCTAAATTGAACGATACGAATTGTTCATACAGCATTTCAAAGTCGTCATTTTCACAAATCCATCACAATTACAAAAGAATAATCATAACACTGAAATAGGAAGCATTAAAGTAAAGCAGAGAGAATATAAAATGAATACCATTATTCTTTGTTACTCTATCGAATTTGTGAGTTTGCAATTTTCCGCGCGAGGAAATACGTCATAAATCATAAGCCGGGGTTTCCTTTCCACCAGCCTTCCATGTAATGCAGCTTGCCCTAAGTCTGTATCCACACTTACCACCGCGGGAACATTTTGCACAGTATCAAAGCAGATCTACTGTGGCTGAACTATCAAAATTTGTTCATATAAAATAATGGTTTTGTCAGTTTATAAAACCACTGTATGACTGCTTTAATCTGGATTTTTATTAAAGTTTGCAATAAACTGCTGGTTCAGATAACAATTGGTTTTTATTCCGTCATTTCAAACTGCTATATGATGTTGATCCATGATAGCGAAACCCTTAGTTTTTATGTTCATCGTCAAATATTCTTATTATCTATATTTTACGACATGAGTGCTGGAAGTAATAAAAAGAAATCACAATATTAAGTTAATATTATCTATTGGTAATGTGCAGAAAAAGCCATGTATAGTAATAACTGTTCTAAGTATAATATTTACAATACAGATTACAACTACTTTTTTTTTCAGAATCTGTATGTCTGTATTTCTTTTTCATATGATGGTAATATTCTTTAGGAAGGTTACAGAGGTATCTCACATCACATTATTATAAACCTTTAGAACAGAGTCAGTTCGTATATTCTGAGACAAATGCAAACCAATCATAACATAGTAAATTACTCACACAACTCTCAACACTCCCACAAAATCAGAACCCCATATCAATTTCCATCGAAGTCAATGGGTCCTGTCAAAAATCTCTCACCTCCCTAACGACTCCTCACTCCTCAATATCAGGGAAGTTGTGCAGCAATAAAAGGGTGTAAGTCCCTTGCCACAAGTTACGAGCTTGTTTACGAGGGAGTATCAACAGCTTCTACGTTATTTAGATTGCACGCCGCCATTATTTATTTATACCTTACAGAAATGCGGTGACTGATTCCAGGAGGATGCTTCAGATTTAGGTCATATTTTTGGAGGCTTTATCTATTTGTATACGGTATTTGACGAAATCAAATATTGTTAAATGTGTTATTTTCACTGACAGTCTGTCTAACAGACCTTTCAAACATTACTTCGACTTTCATTGAAACACTTTGAATTTGAACGTAAAACTACATTTAGAGTCGTGAGCTATTTTTAGCATCCCTAAAAGAAATATTCTCCTAAAACTTTTACATTCCTGTACCTTTTATATTGAAGCAGTGTTCCAGTTTAGCTCCACAAACATAAATACATTGTCTGTCTGTCTGGCAGCGCAGTCAGACACACGAAATATTAATCACAGACCTGTCATGCGGTCGGAGCTGAAGCTCAACTTTCTGCTGAAGCATATCCAACGCTAGGAATGTTGTTATTGTTTTACAAACACCTATTCTACATCGGAAACGATATGTAAAGAGGTTTAATGGTTAACTTAGAACAATTAATTGTATTGTTTAAGTATTGTTTTGTGATGTTTACAAAAGGTTTAAAGTAATTGTACTGGTACAGATTTCATACAAATACAGACTATACTCTGATAAAGGAGAGAACAATATCCCTAGTCCAATGACAGACGTAAAAAATTAAACTAATAATAAAATGGAACGGACTTTAAAATAAATGTGTCTGTCGACTTCTTAAAAGCAAAGCAAGCTTAATATTAAACCTAATATCATAGTATCAGATGTAAAATGTACAGAAATATACAGCTGATGCTGACAAAAGTTTCACTAAACTTTTTATTGAACAGAGATTTATCAAGGACTTTTTGTGACATAATGGAAATAGCCAGACACCAGATAGAACTGTCAGTGGGTTGAAGAATTGGTTCTCAAACTTTTATCAATAAAAAACGGTTGAAGGCAAATCCTCCGCTGACGTCGGTGACCGATGACCCATGGCGTTTAACGTGTTAAGATATTGTAGTAGTGAGACTCGCAGCATGATTTTTACCCGATTGTTTTAACTTCTTTTATGACAGAGTTGGCGAATTATTGATATAAAACCATAAAATCTACCCTTCAACAGAGGAATCGTAAAATTCAAACGTTGAGCCAACATAATGACTTCCATGGGGATCGACTTTCATTGGAACACGTTCCGATTTAATTTGATATGGTTTTTCAATCGTCACTTTTCGCATTTCTTTGTGGGGCTGTTAATACCACACAAACAAATACAAGTTCGATTAGTGTTACATAACACCATTCACAACAAAAACATATTAGTGCCACGCAACTTCAAATAACATTAAATACTAAACCGAAAACACACAGTTCGTTTCCAATTTAGGGAGTTATGT